TCCAACTTTATTCTGAGGGCAATGAGAAACCATTGGAGGTTTTAAGAAGGAGACAGACATGCTAAAGCCTACAATTTAGAAATATCTATTCGAATGTATTGTGAAGAATGGGTTGAGTGAGAGCAGAAGCTGGAAGATCAGTTAAGAAGCAGTCATCTGAGAGAACACTGTGGCTTGGATCAATGCAGTGGCTGTGGAAATGGAGACAGATGGATATGGGAAGAGGTGTTTAAGGGGTAGAGTTACTAGAACTTAATAAAGGGCTGGATATGTGGGGAGGGAAGAGGAGAAAGAAAAGAATCAATCTTGACTTTCCATTTCTGGTGTGGTAAATATATCTTGGTCCTGTCAGATAAAGGCGAGGTCAGTGGGGTTGGCAGACACAGATCTGGTCTAGAGTGGCTGTCATGTTGCCTCCCCACTTCTGCCTGCAGTGGCTTCAAGGACCAATGAAATGAAAAATTACCAGTTACCTGTGAGAAGCTGTCACATGCAAATAGGTCCTTGCATCATCTTTTTCCAAAGAAGAGTTAGATTTCACCCAAGGGCAAGCAAATTGGAGAATAAGAAACTTAGAACCTTATTTTTGCTATGAGCTTCTCTCATTTATGCTTGTATATATTTTTTGTTATGTATTCAAATCTCCTTCTCAGAAATGGTTTGAGGCAGTTATATTTACTTACATATTTGTTATTTTTGGTGTTCTCCAGTTTTTTGTGTAGATCCAAATTTTAATTAAAATTTCCTTGTGCCTGAAGAACTTTAACGTTTCTTATAATACAGGCCTGCTGGCAATGAAGTTCGTTAGCTTTTGTTGGTCTGAAAAAGTCTTTATTTCACCTTACTTTTTGAAGATATTTTTGCTGTCATTTTTGCCTTTGTTCCTCTGTACATGAAACACCTTTTTTCTCTTGCTGCTTTTAAGAGTTTCTCTCTATCACTGGTTTTTAGAAATTTGATCATGATATGTCTTAGTGTGAGTGATTTTCTTCATGTTTCTTCTGCTTAATGTTTCTTGAGCTTCTTAGAGGTGAGGGTTTAATTTTCATTGTATTCGGATATATCTCAAACATTGTCTTCAAATGTTTTTTTCTGTCCTTTCTTTCTGGAATTCGAGTTACACTTACTGTTATGCTTCCTGTTGTTCTATAAGTTACTAATGTCCTGTTTTGTGGCGGCAGGGTGTCAGTTTTTTTCTCTTTTTCATTTTGGATAATTTATATTGCTACATGTTCTACAGTGTCTATCATTCTGCGTATTTTTCATTTCAGATATTTTCCTTTTCACTAGTAGAGGTTCAATTTGGGTCTTTTTCTATATCTTCCATTTATCTCATCATGAGCATGCTTTCTTTTACCTTTTTGAAAATAGGGAATAAATTTATAATAGCTGTTTTAATGCCCTTGTCTCCTAATTCTGTAATCTCTCTTTTTATGAATCTGTTTTTATTAATTTCCTTCTGATTATTGATCATCTTTTTTTGCTTCTTTGCATATATGGTAATTTTTAAAAAATGAAATTGTATTTACATATCATAAAATTCACTCTTCTGAAGAGTACATACAGTTCAATGGTTTTTAATATATTCACAAAGTTGTGCAACCATCACCAATACCTAATTCCAAAACATTTTCCCAAAAAACCCTCATACCCATTAGCAATCGCTCTCCATTCTCCCTTTCTCCAACCCCTTATAAGCACAAATCTGCTTTCTGTCTCCATGGATTCGCCTATTCTGGATATTTCATACAAATATAATTATACAATTTGAGGTCTTTGTGTTTGACTTCTTTCACTTAGCATCACATTTTTGAGGTTTATTCATGTTGTACATGAATCAGCCCTTTATTCCTTTTTATGACTGAATAATATTCCATTGTATGCATATGCTTCATAATTTTTGAATATATATTGATTATTTTTATTTTACATTGTTGGGTGCTAGATTTTGTTGTATTCCTTTATTAGGCTTTGTTCTGGAATGCAGTTAATTTTCTTGGAATTAGTTTGACCCCTTGATCTTGATTTTTAAGCCTTATTACTTTGGCCCCACTACTGAAGCAATACCTTTCTGAGATTTTCCTTGATGCCCTGTGTGTTAGGGGGCCTTTCCATGTTCACTAGTGGGAACACAAACTATTCCCAGCTCTGTGTGAACTCTGGAGATTGTTCTGCTTCTCATTTCTTGTGGTTCTTGCTTCAGCCTTGTTTTTTTTTCTCACACACATACACAGATTATACTCCAGCAAAGACTTAAAAGGAACTCCTCTGCAGATCTCTGGAGCTTTCTCTTTGCGCAGCTTCTTCCTCTCTAGTATTTCGCCCTGAAAATTCTAGCTGCCTTGGTCTTCTTGAACTTCTTTAACTCAAAAAGATGCCAGCCTTTATTCAGGCTCCCCTTTGCTCTGCTGTGGCCTCAAAACTCTCTGTAGGTAGTAGGCTAGATTATTCATGGGGCTCATCTTGTTAGGTTCCCTTTTTTCTGGGATTAGTGTCCTGAGCTACCTGTTGTCCAGTGTCTGAAAACCATTGTTTATATATTTTGTCCAGTTTTTTGCTCACTTAAGGTAGAAAGGTAAATCTGGTCCCTGTTACTCCATAGCTTTGGTTTAAGGCAGTATAAAATGCATGGTTCATATAAGGAGAATAATAATAATAAAAGTAATAAATACTGAGAAGCTAGTACAGCAAGTTGGCGAATAATGTTTCATTCAACGTCATTTCATTATAACGGTGATGAGATGCCGTAGGAACTTAAGACCTGTTTATATCTATTAGCCTATGGAAAAATTGGTTTCATTATGTGTTGTTCTGCTTAAAGTCGCAAAACCTACAGATGACATTAAGTGGAGGCTTTCTGTATTCAAATCATACGAATAATGTTACAATAATTAAGCATTACTTTTTTCTCTGAACTTCCCAGGAACCAACATCAAAGAAAAAGTGCAGAGGGGTAGATTTTCTTATAGAAGAAATAAACAACTTTCAGTAGAGAAAAAATACTTTTTACCCTAAATTTTAAGGACCTTTTAGGGGGAACTGGTATAGTTTTTGACATCTCTATCCATCATTGACAGCTGGGGCAGCTGGTGGGAGTGATGCTGAGGCAGTGGCTGCTGACTGGAAGAAGTGTGACTTGATTGCAAAGATTTTGGCCTCTTGTCCTCAACAGTCTCTTTCACCAGAGGATTACTATAAGGACATCTGCCCCCAGGTAAATAATTTTGTTTCTTTTGACTGTTTAAGGGTTATCTGCTTACTTACAGAAGGACTTTTAGTGTTCCTCTAATATTGAGGAAAAGCAATATGATATTTAAGTGTCTTGTTCAGTGAGGGGCCTTCTTAATAAGCAAATAAAAACATGTGGAAGACGCTAACCTAATTGTTAGGTTTTAAAACCCCTCATCATTTTTAGATGAGTAGCCCAGCTTGCTCTCAGAGCTGGAGTATAAAACTAAAGTTTCGTCTTGTTCCTTATCTTTTCTGTGTGTTTTTAATTAGTTTAAAAAAAAATAGGTATTAAACAAGGTAAATGAACATGGCATACAATTTAAAAAGAATTACTTTTCTGTTTATTCTTTTGTTTCCTAGACCCTCAGTAGTCACTGTTATCAATTTCTTGTTTATTTTCCAGAGATATTCTATGTATTATATATGTATAATGATATGTGTATATATGTGTATATATAATCTAGTTTTTATCTAAATGATAACATGCTACACATACTGTCTTCTATTTTGCTTTTTATTTTGCTTTTTTCCACTTAACAATGTGTCTTGGAGATCATTTCACATAGAATCATCTCATGTAGTGTTGCTTCATTCTCTTTCATGGGTGTATAGTATTTCATCACATTAAAGTACCATAATTTATTTAATCGGCCTCCTATTAATGAATATTTGAGTTTTCATTATTTTGCTATTATAAGCCATGCTATAGTTAATATTCATAAATCTTGTACAGATGCCAGTATTACCATAGGAAAAATTCCTAGAATTGAAATTACTAGTTTAAAGGGTATGTACATTTGAATTCTTAATTGATATTATTTAAATGTCTGTTTCCCCCCCTCACCTTTGCCTACACAGTGTGTCACAAAACTTTTCTATTTTAGCTAATCTGTTAGGTGAAAAATGTGGAAGGAGTTTTATTTATTCATTAGCACTTCCCATGCATTTAGATGTAAGACGTGCCTTTTGGAGTACAGTCTGAAGAAAGTCATTCAGTTGTTAATGCTGATCTTCAGGGTTCTCATGGGTAGGAATGTAGAGAGCAAAATATCACAACGCAAAGCTCTTATACTGACATATACTAAATATCAATCATCTTAACAGGAGAAAGTTAGCATTTGCAATGATGAGTAAATATTTTCTGAAACTAGTAGCTATAGTTTTGGTACTTGACAAAATGATAAAATCAAGTCATAGGTTTCGGACTTATTGAGTCTCTCTTGGTAGTGTTAGAGGTCACATAGAGTTTTTAGACAGAAGATTCCCCTGTTTGCAAAAAGTACAAAAATCACTTTTAAGTCAGAAACAGAAATACACTTTATATCAGTTGCTTATAGACTAGGCTGAACCAACTCGTAGGCACTAGAGATCTACATTTATCTTTGAGAATAAAATGGACTGTTATCTGGGATAGTTCAAACATGACAAGTTCTTCAGATCCTAAATATATTTATATGCCTTGATGCAGTAATTTCATTTGGTGGTGCTTTTTATAATAGCAGAATTTTGTGATAAACAATGCCTGGATATTAAGAAATAGTTTAATAAATTCTTACATACAGCTTGAATATATATTATATATTACAATATAATATCTTTGAGGAATTCATAACAATATGAGAAGGTTTCGGTAATACACAAAACTGAATATTAAGTGTGGTCACAGTTAAAATAACAGCAAAAATGTTTATAGTGATTTGGGAAAATTTAATTTTCTTCTTAAAACTTTAAAAAATTTTTTATTTTATTATTAGTTTCAAGTATACAATAAAAATATGGAACACTTCATGAATTTGCATGTCATCCTTGCGCAGGGGTCATGCTAATCTCTGTATCATTCCAGTTTTAGTATGTGTGCTGCCCAAGTGAGCACTTAAAACTTTCTTTTCCAAATTTTCTACAATGAGCATGTATTTTATAAATTTGATAAAAGTACTTAATAAAAACATAGCCTCTTCTGTTCTCATACCCTTTGATACTGGGTTGTTACATTAAAATTTTCTTGTTGAATCAGTGTCATTGCTGTGAGTTTATTTTTTGGCTTAAAGAAATTATTACTTTCTCTTAGTTAATGTAATGCTCCTTGCAAAGAGTCTGGTATTTACTTCATGTGTTTTTTTCTTTCAGGTCCTAGATTTATTTCACTTTCAAGATGAACTGACAGCACGACAATTTCAGAGAGTTGCCACTACTACCTTTATAACTATGTCAAGAGAACGCCCACAATTGGCAGCCAAGTATTTGCTTCAGCCAGTGTTAGCTCCTCTTCATCGATGTTTAAATATAGCAGGTAAAGGAGGATGTCTGGTAGTTGGATGTCTTTCTAAAGGATCTTCTCTCTCAGTGTTTCAGATTTAAATAACTTCAGTCTGTGGTATTGCAGTGTCTTTAGTTTTACTTTTTTCCTCTCTAACTTTTTGTTTTGAAAAATCCACTTTACAGAAGTTCCAAGAAGACTGCATTCCACCACCCTGTACATTTCACCTAGACGATCAACTGTTAATATTTTGCCCGTGTTTGTTTATCTTTCTTTTATAACTTTCTCTATTTCATGGCTATAGAATTTCTTTTATAGCTATTTTTTAAAAGTCCAGAATCCAGTCAAGAATCATGCATAACGTTTACTTGTTAAGTCTTTTTAGTGTTCTTTAATGTAGAATAGTTCCCCAGTCTTTTGCTTGTCTTTCACCATGACATTTTTGAGGAGCCTAAGTTATAGAATGTCCCTCAATTTACATTTGTTTAATTGTTTCCTTGTGATTAGATGCAGGTTAAACATTTGGCAGGAATATTGTATAGGATGATGGTTTTTTTCTCAGTTGCCACCAGAATAAGAGGCATAGGTATCAGTTTTCCCCATTATTAGCAATGTTATATTTGATCATTTGATTAAGGTGGGAGCACACAGATTTCTCCATTATAAAAATACCTTCTTTCTGTGTAATTAATAAGTAATCTGTGGAAGGATAGTCTGAGACTGTGTGAATACCGTTTCTCAAGTCTTCCATACTGTGGTTTAGTATCTGTTGATGAATCTTGCCAGTAAAATGGTGACTTTCTATTTTGTTTGTTATTTCCAATTTGTTAGTTGGTATCCTGTAAAGAAGAGCTTTTTTTCTCTCCCTGCCTCATCCCTTTTTGAAAAATAATTATTTAAGTTTCAGTATAGATTCATAGATTCTTTTTTTATTTAATGGGTTACCAAACATTCTTGTCATTCATTTTGATGTTCAGAATTTCCTAGATTTGGCTAGTAGATTTAGTTCTGTTTTAATCTTAAAAGACTGACATTTTCACCACTTCCTCAGTATATTTTCATGCTTTATTGAGTTTAATTCTAGGAAACAGAGTATTAGTATAGTATTCTTAGTGATTTAAAGATTCTTAGTGATTTCTAAGATTAAAAATGAAGGAAAAACTTGATGTGATGGTTAAACCAAATTTAAGTTGGGGTAGGCTCTGTGTAGAAGTCATTTGTAGTCTAAATTTTTCTTGGTGTGTGTGGTGGAGTGAGGTGGGCGGAAATGGAGAAAGACTAATTCTTTTGCATAGTAAACTTCACCTTGGTGAAGTGAAATTTGTAATTATTCAGACATGATAAACATGATATTTTAGTAAATAATTAAAATTTCTTTATATATTTGATAGGAAACTAGCCTAAAATCAGTATATTCTTTTCCAAGAAGGCTCAAAAAAATGAAGTATTATTTCTGTTGACCTAAATGTGGATAATTTTGTTTTTTTTTTCTCTAGACATTCCAGAGAGTGACATGGTACCAGGGACCATTTTGGTAACAGAAAAAGAACTTAGTAGATGTATTGAAGATGTATATAAGGTCGGTAATTTTTGTTTTTAACTAATATTTATACTCAGTCTTTTAAAATATTTTTGCCTTTTTAATTGGTACTTCAAGAATTAGAATGTTTAATCTTAAATTCCAAACGATCAAACTCTTTTCACTTTTTGAAATTGGAAACTATAAACTGTTAGTGAAAAAACTGATACATTATGCTTCTGTCAATTTCATCATTTATCTGAATGTTTAACAGGTTGTATTCTCTAACTGGCACATGCCACTGAGGAATGCATGTCTTTTAAAGAAATTGACAGAGTCATTTACTATACTGTAGGCTTCCTAAAAGTGTATGTTAATATTGAATTTACCTTATAACTTTTGATAGTAATCACCATCATAAAGAGGTAAGTCTAATAAATTAATCCTGCAAACGACTGCCTAAATAAAATGAAAAAAAGAATACAAATTGTGTGTTCTCTATGATTACAATCTTATCATTATATATGAAATATATTTTTAGGCAAAAATGAAATCTGTTGTGTTAGGGCCAGTTGGAATTGGGGTAAATATTCTTCTTTAAAGCTTATTTCAATAAATTTGTAATAGTATTTTACTATTAAAAATATTTACTCTAGTAAACAGCTTTCAAAACGATATTCCATGGAAATAGGCGCAACCACTTTGGAAAATAGCTTGGCAGTTCCTCACAAAGGTAGGCATGAAGGAGTTATATGACCCAGCAGTTTCACTCTTAGGTGTATATACCCAAGAGAAATGAAAACATCTTCACACAAAAACCTGTACATGAATATTTATAGCAGCATTATTCATAATAGCCAAAGTATGAGAATAACCTAAATGTCTATCAACAGGTGAATGAGTAAACAAATGTGATATAGCATGGACTACTTGTCAGTCATGAAAAGGAATGAAGTATAGATACATGCCACAACATGGATGAACATTTAAAAATTATAATTAAATTTTTTTTAAAGCCAGACACAAAAGACCACACATCGTATAATTTCATTTATATGAAATGTTCAGAATAGGCAAATTCATAGAGACAAAGTAGATGAGTGGTTGCTAGGGGCTGGGAATAGAGAATTGAGAGTAGCTGCTAGTGGATATGGGATTTTTTTTTGAGGTAAGGAAAATGCTCTGGAATTAGTGGAACCATATAATATGTGGTCTTTTGCTGAGTCCCCACCACTCAGCTTAAGAAATTAAACATTACCATCTACGGTCTTGCCACCCTGAACGTGCCCGATCTCGTCTGATCTTGGAAGCTAAGCAGGGTCAGGCCTGGTTAGTACTTGGATGGGAGACCACTGAGGAATACCATGTGCTGTAGGTGTAAAAAAAAAAAGAAAGAAAGAAAAAAGAAATTAAACATTACCAATTCAACTGAAGTCCTCTATTTGCTGTGCCTGATCACATTTCCCTTGCTTCCCACTGGAGGGAGCCACTGAACTTGTGTGTTTTATTCCTTAAGCTATTTGTAGGACTGTTGTGCATAATTTTAAATTGTTTTAAATGGTATTGTAATATATGTTACTTTAATTCATTTTTCACTACTAGATATTATTCTATTATATGGCTATATCACCATATATTTGTTTATTCTTCTATTGGTAGGTATTTGAGTTGTTTCCATGGAATTTTTGACAGTCTGTTAGGTGCAATGTAGTTTTAATTAGCAGTTAGTTCTTTTATTACTGGTGAGGTGCAGCGTCTTTTTCTGGTTTTGGTTCATTCTTATTTTACTTCTATAAATTATCTATTCATATAGTCTGCCCATTAGAAAAATTAAGTTATTTGCCTCTTAAAAAATTTTTAGATTAAATTGTTTTTGTAAAACAGCTTGATTGAAGTATACTTTACAGACCATAGAATAATGTTTTAAGTGTACAATTCAATGATTTTTAGTAAATTTTCGGAGTTTACGGAGTTGTGAAACCATCACAATACAGTTTTAGAACATTTCAGTCACCTCAAAAAGATCCCTTGTGCCTGTTTACAGTCACTTCCTGTTCCCACCTCCAGCCCCAGGAAACCATGAATCTGCTCTGTACCTCTCTAGATTTGCCTTTTGTGGATATTTCATATGAGGGAATCATGCAGTATGTGCTCTTTTGTGGCTTCTCTCTCTTAGCATGTTAATGAGGTTCATCCAGGCTGTTGCATATATCAAAATTTTGTCCCATTTTATTACTAAGTAATAGTCTATTATATGACTGTTCCACATTTTGTGTATCTGTTCATCGGTTAATGGACATTTGGATGTAGAATGTCCTTTTTTTAAACCACTTTGTAAGAGATAATTCACATATTGTACAGTTCATTCATTTAAAGTGTGCAAATCAATGGCTTTTTAGTATAGTCACAGATTTGTGCTGCCGTCATCATAATCTATTTTAGGACATTTTATTATACAAAAAGAAACCTCACATCACTCCCAAGTCCTTCCACCACCATTCCCCCCAGCCCTAGCAGCTACTAATCTACTTTCTGTTTCTATAGATTTGACTATTTGAGACATCGCATATAAATAGCATCACATAATATGTTTTCTAAAGCGGCTGTACCATTTTATATTCCCACCAACTGTGTATTAGGGTGTATAGTCAATCTTAAGTCATGTTCCTTCGGATAAGAAGGCAGGTGCTTTTATTTTGTTTTAAGCTTTATGTGTAACACTAATAAATTCATAGATATAAAATGCATGCATAGAAATTCAAAATTCATTCTCTAGGACACTCACTTTTTACTAAAGTGAGATGTTTACTACCCTTTTATTTAATGTTGCTATTAAAAAACAAAAAGTATACCCTTTACAGGTATACCAAAAAAAAAAAAAAACAACTAACATACAAATATAGATTTAAATTACTCATAGATGGATGGAAGACCACCTAGGAAGGCCAGGTGCTGTAGGCATAAAAAATAAAAAATAAAGAATTGTAAGCAGACAAGGTCTTTGCAATCTGTGAGGTCAACCAAGGGTTGCCTTGCCTAAAAAATAAAAATAAAAATAAATAAATTGCTCATAGATAAAACATGACATGCGATTAGT